ATATACTATAATATACTTAGGATCCCCTCCCCGTTATTAAAAAGAACAACATAATGTGATCATTAGAATATAAACAATAATTAAAAAAATATTTACGAGTTTAATATTTAAAATTTTGCAGTTAGGATTACCATTTATCATTTTAAGTTATAGTGCATAGTAAATATTGCAGCTAATGTATTAAAATAATATAGCCATACCACATTTTGCTCTATTTAAATGTAAATTGTACTATTTTAATGCATAATTATTATTTTACGATACAGATTTTTTAATTTTACTGTCATACGTTTAWAATYAAAATGTAATATCAATAAAATTAATTTAAATATTCATTTCGGGATGATAATTATGCAAGTTATAGTAACCATACGCTGATTGTATAAGACAGTTTTCTAAAACAGAAATTAATTTTTGTTTTTGAGCCTACTTAAACATGTATATTGTATAAGAGAAAGTGGTTTATGATATAATGTTAAATCATCATGCAAATAAAACTAATTGACTCGAATTTTTTTATTACGCTACATAAATGTGTTTCTATATTATAAATTCAAGTAGTCGACTATTATTATTATTATTATTAGTCAACAAAATTATTTCATAAAGACTAAATAGTATAATTATTTTAATTTTGTAATTTAGTACATGTATAAAGATGATATTTTAAATATCGCCCCGTAATGTGCATGCGCATATTATTAATATACTTTTCGGGATTGACTGAAAATAAAATACGCTGAACACTTTTAAATGGATCACTCTGTGTGTTATGTGTTGTAAGTTGTTACATTGTTTATATATTATATGTATTAGTTGCATATCTGATAGGTAAGTTTACTATTTAAGAGACAATCAATCGTTCGATGAACGTCTAACATTCTAGTCCGTCTTGATGAAGGAAAGGCGTAAATACACGAGTTTAGACTCTAACGAATGTAGCCTCTAAACTCGTTTCGATGGTTGTTCTATGCCAACGATTAAAAAATTGGACACGTATTCATGCAGTGCGTAGAGGTTATATAGGTTCGATAGCTGGTCTTCGCCACCCGTTATTCCTTTTTTTTACCGTATGTACACGTGTGGTGTAATACCTACGTGTAAACTGGTTTTGTTTTTTATTATTATGTTTTTCTTCGTATTTTTCTATTAAAAGTAGCTGAAATCGTAGGTCGTTGGCCATAAYGTCTATTGTTGTACGTATCCTGAAATATAAATTATTTTTTTTCGTGTTTTATCTTTGTGTTTATAGAATCTCAAAAAGATTTTTTTTATTTCATGTAATATACCTCTATTATATACATTAACTGAAGATTTTTTTAGTTTCCTGGAGTTTGCTGCATATTATATCGTACTCGATTGGGAATGCATTTGCTTTTTATAACAGAGTTAATTACTACTATACCTATATAAACTGTTTGGCAATCGAAAATATATTGGTGGTTGATCGTTGTTGAGTGAAAAGTAATGTATCAAATTTGATGGTATGTAACTTCTTGTATGGTTTTGTAGAGTTTGTTTCTTCTYATTGCTATTGGTTTTTTATAACTTGTTCCTCGAGTTTTWATATTAACAGTTTATATAGGTAGGTACCATGTTTAACTACTGTTTATCACTAATCTTCTATATKGATGTGTTTAAAAAATTTCGTTAACATACCAGACATTTCTTTAGGATTTGTCCGCCTTAAACTTATCTAAGATATTTGGAAATCATTGTAGAGAATATTTGGTGTATTATATAATATTAAGCATTAGCTTTTGATTGATCTTATTTTGRCTTTTGCTACTATAAATTTCACACCAATTATTTTTTATTCGTGAAATGTTTGGTTTGATTGGTGTCACGTATTAAAAGTTTATTTTTAAGACTATTTGAATTTGGATTTTTTGCAAATTTTTGGATCATTCGCTAAGAATTTTCTTATAAGTAGTCCTCTAATCTTAAAAAAGAAYCCCTWACTTTTCAAGTTGATTATTGTGATTTAATAATTTTAGTTGATCAACTATGACAAAATATTTGCAATTGATACTAGGCGAATTGCGATATTAATAGCGTCTGTTTAAATMAAATCCGTTTTAACCTAGGTATTAATTAGTAGATAGACAATAATGTATTGATTATTAATTTATGCTTACACAATAAAGACAATTTCTATTTCTCACAAATAAAAACACGCGACAAAGCTGTAATTTTAATAAAAATCCGTTCTATGGTACGTTTGCTTAAAAAAATCTAATTACTCATAAAATTGATTACCTTCATAACGATAATGACGTTGTGAATTGTGATGTTATATCCGTATTGTAATAAAATTAAATGTTTGTATTACGGGATAACTGATTATTAGTTATTAATTCTTTTATAGACAGCGATTATTTAGTCGATTGTAAATTTTTAATTGTGTTGCAATAATATACGTACGTTGGTACTATCGAAACTCAGTTGACGCGTAACTTTAAAAATAATATAGAACGCCATAAAATTACAATTCAAAGTATATACAAATAACTAATAAGTTGGTATATAATAACTATTTTATAAAAAATGACGCTGTTAAAATGTGTGTTAAAAGTAAACTGCAAAAACCTAACGGTGTACCTAGTTCAACGTTGTATAATCAAATAARATATTCGCAGGAATACCTAATAATACGCAAAGATTAAATTTTCGAAAATTCTAGCAGTAATTCAATTCTGATTTCTTAAAATATTTAAACATTTTGGATTTCTTCCAAGTTAAAGATGTTTTTTTTTTTGCAGATCTCTCTAGGTTCATGCGATAGTGGGTTCGTGAATATTTTTAGTATTATGATCATTCTATAGTTTGATGTTGGATTTATATTTTATTTTATTTATTTTATTTTATCGATAATTCAATTTTATTACTGAATGTTTATCTTGTACACTTTGTTATGTAAACTTGTTGGTATAATGTTATAGTACAGCGGTTTCCAACCTTTTTACCCGGCGGTGCCCTTTTGTTTGTACAAATTTTGTTAGGTGCCCTCGAGGTGCCCTTCTGTGAATATCATCATTTTTTGATAAAAATAAACACTAGTTTTTATTCATAACTGATTAAAATAATTTTATTAAACACATTATTAACAAATTATGATTTTATAGTTGAAAATAAAAAGAAAAAATTCTGCTTTAATAGTGAAAAACTAATAATTAATGAGATATTTGAGGCTGCTTATCTTTAGAAAGTTTGGCAATATTTTTATCTATTATTAAATTATTCGACACATATTAGAAACACTATAATTAGTATTAGATATACAGATAGAATGCTAAGTAGTTWTGTAAGTAAAACAATTTTTTGCCTTTTCAACTACCATACATTTTTAATATATAATTTAATATTTTTTTTTCATTCTCGGATGAGCCTTGATGCCTCTTATACGAGCTCGCGGTGCACAGGTTGGGAATCGCTGTTATAGTATATTGTGTTTGTGGTTCGATTGATAAAACATTAATACTAAACATTTCACTGGTGGTCCGATGGTATTATGCGTTATCGAAAACATATGATAGGAGACGGTTTGAGAATGTTTGTTTCGTTGGCGGATGTAAAAATCACCTCACCGGTTTATTTTTCCGTTTTTCTTTTCATTATGTTTAAACGAGGTTTTAACTTTTAGAAATATATTATTACTACAATTTCATGTTATTCCAGAAAAATGTGATCTATCTAATTTTATGAGAACAAAAAAATTTCGATCACCTTAGCCTTAACTCAAATAACATTGCTATTATAAAACAAAACAAACATTTTTAATTATTAACAAACATGTAGGCGTATAAAAGTGTGTTCCACTAGTGACCCGTGAGGACATAATATCCCAGTGTACTGGTAAGGATGGACAAGTTTTGACTTTCAGCAGACAGCACATAATAATATTTTCTTGCTGAACGACAGACGACAGTATACTACTATTTATGATAGAAAGTCCGACCGATTAGATAAAAATACATGAAACGAATAGTAACTATGCACTTGATATCAAAAACACGGTGTTATTTTATCTGTTGTTATTCGTCTACAATATAATGTTATTGTGTGTTGTGTGCATTTTCAAAGTTTATAAACTCACGCAAATTTTTGTTTTATTAAATCCATAATATTTGTAGTGATTCATCAGAAATCGTTCCCATAAAAATWTGAATTAAACTACGACTTAAATCAAGTAATTTTTTTAATATTTCTCTATATGGTTATTTATTATAAATTAAAATTAAAAAAGATACTTATGATTCGAAATATTTCACATTAAGTATTTTTATTATCATACATAATTTGCCTTATATCTGGGTAACAGACAGTTTGTAGTATGATTGATTTTTTATTTCTAGTGAAACACAACTATAAATTAATGTCCATGTATTTGATAGACCGCATCATTTGACTATGCACTTAATATATTATGATTGTAACATAATATATTCATAAATCACAAATATCGTTTATGCTAAAATGAACTTTATTGAACCATTACTGAAACAGTAAAACGACCATGAAATCTAGAACATTTGGTGTCGATGATTTAGTATAACTCGACTCTGCTTTGTCCATGTGGCATTCGTGCTTTATATCGTGAAATAGCAACTGTTGACAATGATGAAATCAATTTTTTTTTATATCGTACCTACATAGGTTGAGACAGATTTTGTTCAGTGTATACATTTTACGATTATTCTAAAAAAAATATTGCTCTCTAATTCTATTTACAAAATAATTAGTACTTTTACAAAATTAATATCAAAAATTATTATAACCTCAATTAAAAATCCTAATCAATATCCATTTTTCAATACGTTTTCACTATTTTATTGAAATAAATACATACGGATGTTATAAATAACCATGTACCTAATTATATAGAAAATATAAATAAATCTTTATATGTATTAAGTCGCCTGTGAGCTATAAAAATAGTTAGTTAGATGAATTTTATTACAATTATTATAATAAGTATTTTGTATTTGCTCATTTTTCAGGTCCTATATTGAATCTCATACATTATTAAGATGGGAGTACAAATGAGAACAAAGACCGAAGAAACGGCTGAGCCTCTGATTGAAAATAACAACAAGGATAGCTTGGATGAACCTCTGAAGCCACAACCTCCACAAAAACGTGAAATATTATGGGCTACAGCTATATATTTAACCACTTGGCACATATTAGCTGTTATCTGTACGATACTTTACTGGAAGAATGTCAAAATGGCTACCATCTTATGGAGTGAGTACTATATTATTATATATGGTTTTTTTTAAATTAAATTAAACTAATTTAGTATATAAATTATCATTTATTGCCGAGCTTAATTTAAAAAAAAAAAATTGAATCAGGTTGTTTGGGTTCTGCCATAGTTTTTTGTTTTTTATGTAACTAACCATTTCTGTATGTCCCTATACTTTTTGAATTGCAATTTTAAAATTAAATGATATTTTTATATTATATTATAATAAGTTTTGGTAACATTATTCTTATATTGTTTATTGATTATTAGGTCTTCTTGTTGGATTCATTGGACAGTTTGGTGTAACAGCAGGTGTGCACAGATATTACACTCACAAAGCGTACAAAGCCAAGATTCCTTTGCAAATCATTCTTCTGGCTTGCTATTCAGTTGCTGGACAGGTATTTAAATTATATATATATAATTATAAAATATATGTATATATATTAATATAATTATATTATTTTATTTATATTACAGTACAGAGTAACAGATTGGGTTCATGACCATAGATTKCACCATAAATTTAGTGACACTGATGGTGATCCCCATAATGCTAAACGAGGATTGTTCTTCTCACATATTGGTTGGTTGATGCAACGTGGACACCCAGAAGTATTCCGTCGTAGCAAAACCATTGATATGACTGATATAAATAACGACCCCTTAGTGCAATTCCACACAAAGTATATTTAACATTTTAAACACTTAAAATATATAAAAAGATTAATTTTTTTTTTTTTAGATATTATTGGTTTTTCAAAATAACTTTATGTTTCGTATTGCCTGTACTTGTACCTGTGTTTTGTTGGAATGAAAGCTGGATGGAAGCAATTGGAATTAGTGGAGTATTGCGGTTTGTGATTTTCACCAACATGACATTTTCAATCAATAGCTTGGCTCACTTCTGGGGAACAAAACCATATGACACGTAATTAACATATTTTTATTATTGTTTTTATATTGTTTCTAATGGATTATATATTTTTTAAATTTATTTTATAGACGCATAAGACCTGTACAGAACATGGCTTTGGCTATTTTGACTACCGGAGAAGGCTGGCATAACTATCATCATGCATTCCCATGGGACTACCGGGCAGAAGAATAYGGTGGAAACTTTACCAACCCAACTACCGTAGTTTTGGATTTGTTTGCCAAAATTGGATGGGCATACGACTGCAAAACACCATCAGCAGATCTCATCAAACAAGTGGCTAACAAGCATGGAGATGGAAGTTGGAGCGAAATACCGGCTGAATGCAAATAGATTATTATCAACACTAATGCATTTTTCTAAATAATTAAAAGACTTCATGAACTTTTAAATGCCTTCATAGAATGTTATTTAATATCTAAAATTACAAAGACTAGAATACAATTATGTTGTACAYCTATGAAATGATAATAACTGCAATGGCATTCAGTATTTCAATAGTTTTTGGTTTTACTTTAAATTTTGGTGTAATTTTATAGATTTTTTTTCTTGTGAATATTAGCAATACGATTGGGTAACAACATATTAGTTTAACTACACATATTTATATACTCACACATACATATTATATATTTATATATACACACTATACAGCTAACGCTTTACACATACTGTTGTACATAGTACAGTCAATTTTGGCTAAATTCCTGTTGTCTTGCACATAAAAAAATAATGAATCACTTACCGTTATAACTACACCTTAAAATACTTTAATTTAAAACATGTATATGGTGATCATTGAAACAAAATAGCATATTGTGCTAATAATGCTCAAACATTAGTACCCAATCGTATTACATTGTCCAAAATTTAGATAAGTATCAAATAAAAATTATTTATTATAAACATTTAGTTAATCGGTTGCARCTGTCCAATGACGAATCAATATTCCCAACGAGCTTATGAATATAGCATCAAGTAATCTTACAATGAATACAAGTGTGTGTGTACATGTATGGACAAAAGATGTGAATGTGATATTGTAATGTTTATAGATATATGGAAATTTGTGATGTATTTCACTTTCTTTAAAATGTACAGTTTAACATAATATTACGATTCTAGACGTAACAATATTTACTGGTATCGTGCCATTCTCATAGGTTGATAAATGAGTATGTTAGCAAAATATACAAAACTAGATGATTATTATAATATTATAAAATATATTATAGTAGAGCCAGATATCTACAATATGCTATGTAATATTATGCACATAGGCACCAATCACCAGAATACCTATCACATTAACACATATACATACATGTATACATTATGTTAGTCATTAGACCCTTAATAATAGGTGTAGGAAATTTTTTTGTGATTTTCTTTTGTTTTATCATTATGGTAATTAATATTAATGGTATTAGAAGTAACACGATGAACTGAAATAAATAAAATTTTATTTACAAAATAAACTCATTGTTTTATAATTAGGTAACACATTATGAACAAGTTTTGGTACAAATATATTTTAATAGTTTTCAATCGTTACTGGTCTAGCAAATATTTCATATAATCTAATTATATTACAAACAAAGGGCTGGTGGATTCAATTAATCTTTAATAAGATGGGATATATTATGATGTTCTGAAAATATTACAAGAAATGTACTAAAAAATGTAAAAATAAAGTGTATAAAAATTATTAATTGTGAAAATATTCTTGTATCCTTTATTATTCTGCGATACATTTTAAACTTTAATAGAATAATAAATTTAAATAGATACGGATAGACTGACTAGTGACTATTGTTGTTATACCGTTCCCAAATTATAAGTGAAAACTCTAATAAAAATTCTTATAATATTATGAATGGTTGGTCTGGTTGGAAATGTGGACCATAAAATCATCAAGATTTGGTTTTTAATATTTTTATAAGTCGTGAAAATTGTCCTAAAATGCAAATGGCTCAATCCTTTTCATATTGAAATTGTACATAAAGTCATATTATTAAAGTTTTAATACTTAACATTTATTAACATTGGCTTAATATTTTTTAGTATCTTAAGGTAAGTGGAGTGATTCAATTGATAATTTACTATTAAATAAAAATGTAGTTGGAGCTTCATTGATTGTGTTGTTTTATTGTATAGTCATTCTAAGTCATTATAAAAGTTGAGATTTTAGTGTATACACATTTGATTCTTAAAATCATATTTTCTGTCATCAGAATTTGAGTATTTAATATTACATTAAGCTCTAGAACTTTTAAAGACCTTTAATCGTGCTCTTGGAAATTCACAACTTTGRTACTTACTGAGTTTAAAACATGAATGCATAATTTAATTTTAATTTTAAAAATATTGATGTAAATATTAAAAAGTGTTTAATGGTTCGATTGTTTTCGTTTTGAAAAACTCAATCGGGGATCGACTGGRTAAGTTGTTCAACGGTCGCGGGTCGTCTAGAACTGTTCAATATGGCCGTGTGAAATAACGAAATGAAAAAATAAAATAAATATATTTTTATATGAGAATTATAATAGTTATGATAATGATAAAAATAATTTGAAGCAAAAACCGTATTATACGTGTGTGGTCCAAGAATGATCCTCTCACCCTAATAAGTTTACTAGATTTGTTCGTTTAATAAAGTACGTGTGATTGTTATTATTTGTCAAACAACTACCGTTATTCGTGTTTTGTAATAATTAATATTTATTTAAGTGTGCTCGTGCATAGGAATTAAATCGAAACATATTTTGGTATAGTGTGAATACAATATTTTAAACACATGCTGCAAGGTCAAAAACCGACTATAATATAAACTAGGTAATCCGGAGACAAGTAAATTTCATTGGTGGATTCGTTGGCTAAGTAATAATATTGTGGCTATAGGCACCAAAAGTATCAAGTTATCGGGGTCCTTACTCACTAATCAAAATGTGTAAAATAATGATTATTAATAGTTAATAAGTAATAATAACTGTAACGTGTACTCGGGTGCGGATTAGGATTTTTTTTGTAAGTCAACGCTCAGGATTCATATTTAAGAAAAAATGATAAATTAATTTTGTAGGTAATATTAAATGTGGTGACATTTTAATTACGCCAATTTGAGTGAAGTTATAAATTTTTTTCATTCAATTTTAAGAAGTTAAAGGTAGGTGCCCGGTGCCACATTTCCGCCCRTGACTAWACGCATAGTAAACTTACGACATATATTTTTGTGTTAGGTACTTATCTGTTTAATTATTCCTTACGCGTGACTCGTATGTAGATACGAGAGGAATGGACCTAAAGCCCATTGAGCTAAACATGAGAAATTTTTAAGACGGTGTCCGCATTCAAACAATATACTTATATGTTTGTGTTAATTGYATACATAATTATAAGCATTCTACTAATAAATTAGATGCTAGTGGAGAGGAGGCAAACCGCCGGTGGTAGGTACAAATTATAAATTTTTTAAATTCCATTTAGTAAAAATTTATAGTGACCTACGTACAACGTCGTACATATGGTTGTATAGTAGAGAATATGACGTATTAGGTACCTATGTGGCATACTTTTGATATTATATAATTATTTTCCGAAGCGAGCGTCATCCATTTTCTAACGCACGCTTGATTTGAAAAATATAAAACAACCTGTGACTATAAGGTAAGACAGGTGCGAGTGTGTATGAAGCTGTATCTCTGTGCGCTCTTCATTAAATCATGCGATTAGAGTACCTATATTATTGTGATTTTTGAGGTGCATATATGTATAGACTATAGAATAAAAATTGAATTGAATTTACCATTTTATGATATACCTAATATAATTGGTATGGTACCTATATTTATTTRAAAACCCTACAAGCCCGAAACTATAAAACAATTTTATTTTAGAATTTGAATTCTTGTTTTAGTTTAAATATACACATTTCTAGGTATATACTATATTTAAAAATATGTGTGGTTATAATGTATAATACAGGGTGTCTCATGGAATAACTTTTAATATAAAAAAAAAAAAAAATGTTCTCTATTAATTCATATACACTGGTGATAAATTTTTAGTGTTTTTTTTATGTCTAATACTGAAAATAAAAAACTTAAAAATTGATAAAACTTTTTTTGGATAAATTAAAAATAACCAATTTGTGAATCTGATTATAAGAACAATTTTGATGGTAAAAAGATTTATCTAAGCCAAGTAGTTTATTTTTTTAGAATTTTTTTGGTTAAATCAATTTTGAACGTATTAACTTTTTTAAAAACATGATTTTTGAGAATTTGTTAATATGAAGATATTTTTACATTATTTACTCATCATATAATATTAATAATTTCTGTGATACGTTAAATTAGCATATTTTTTTTTGTCGTATCTTTCTAAGACACCCTGTTTAATATTATGTATTTATGTATAATGTATATGTATATTGATATGTATTTTATAACATACCTACCTTTATCCTATGAATGAGTGAATTTATGCAAGTAGATATAACAACTGTTTAATCATTAAAATCATGTAGTGAAACCCAGTTATACATAATACGGATGTGGCCTACGAGTTTATATTAAAATATTTTTCCTAAGTACCTATACTAGACGATATAATTGTATGCCTGTTAATTGTTAATATACAGTGTAACAGAAATATCAATAAAAAAAATCAATTCTAAAGTTAAAACATATTTWAGACATTTTATGTACCTATAAGGCTATAATAAATAACTTAGAATAGAGGTACTCATGTTAAAAAATTCCCAAAAACTCCATTTTGAAAAAAAATTGTTACGTTTTAAATTAATTTAATCCTA